CCCGGGGGCACCTGTGGCTCAGTTGGTTGAGCGACCAACTTCAGCTCCGGTCATGATCTTGCGGTTTGGGAGTCAAGCCCCGCGTCAGGCTCACTACTGTCAGTGTGGGCCCACTTCTGATCCCCCGTTGCCACCCCCCATCCCGCTCTCTCTCAACAATAAACTTTTTTTTTTTTTTTAAGTTTACATATATGGAGAGAGAGGACCTGTAGGGGAGGGGCAGAGAGAGGGGGACAGAGCCTGAAGCAGGCCCCGCGCTGACAGCAGAGAGACCGACACGGGGCTCAAACTCACGAACCGTGAGATGGTGAACTGGGCCGAAGTCGGACGCTTCGCTGACTTGAGCCACCCAGGAGCCCCAAAAAAGAAACATTAAAGAAACCCCGAACAGACCCAGTGGCCTGGTGCAGGGGTGCTGGTGGCAGACCGTGCTGGAGGGGGAGCACGGTGACCCTGGCGGCAGAATGGGGCCGGACTAAGGTCGTGGCAGGGCGATGGCAGGGTGTAGGTGGAACCCAGGCATGCCTTGGGACCCGTTGTGGATAGAGGGGAAGACTAGCATCTCAGAGGCAAGGAGGGTGCGCGACGAGGGACTGAGTTGGGCAGTGTCCAGAACCCGTGGTTCCCAGCGGTGGCGAACTGTGGTGAGGACGGAGGGTCCCGGCACAGGTTTGTGAGGGACAGTTGTGTGCAAGATGCAGAAAGGGAGATGACCACGGGGAGCTTAGTGTGTGGGCTCAGCACAGGAGGACAGTCTGGACTGAGAGACCAGGGCTTGTCAGCCTTGGGGCACTGAGGACCAGGAGCCCGGGCCGTCCCTCTCTGGGCCTTGGGCACCTTGGCAGTTACCAGGGTGGGGCTGGACCCCCAGTAGGTCGCCGTCTTAGAAGTGGCCGTGTTTCCAAAGTGCAGAGCCCCACTCGGCCCTCGGCGTCTGATTCCACGGGTCTGGAGTGGGGCCGAGGGTCTCGTGTTTAAAGTCTCTGAGATTCCGAAGTGAGTCGGGTCTGCGTGGCACTAACGGGGCCGAGCGGGAGTCAAGAAAGGGCCCCACAGCGGGCTCTCAGCCTGAGAAGAGCCTGTCTGCATGCTGTCACGCTGCATTGGTTCATTCAACACATTTATTGAACGTCCACCGGTGGTGGTTGGGGGTCCTGCAGTGAACAAAACCAGTTCCTACCCTTGGCAAGCTTCCGCTCCGGGGCGCAGGTGGCAGGCTTTGCCACCAAACTTGGACCCTCCCTGCCCGGCCTCGGGAGCGGTGGCAGGACCCGTGGAGCCCTGGGGCCACGGCACTGGAAGCTTTGGGGAACAGTGGGGAGGTCCCTCGGAGCGGGCTCACTGCCAGTGGCATCTCTGAGCAGGTCGAGCGGCCTGCTCTGGCTGGCAGGACAGTCCTGGCATCGCTGAGGGAGAGCAGGTGGGGACAGCTGGGGCTCTGCGTGACCTCCCCGTGTGCCACACGTTGGGCACATACGTATGTACACCTCATAGATGAGGAAACTGAGGCCTGCGAATGTGACATGTCCACCTAGCAAGAGGCAAGGCTGGGGTTTGAACCGAGATCAGACTCCAAAGGTTTGTGCCCTGAACTCTTGGGCAGTGACACCGAGCCCTGGAACTAATGCCCTTTGTGAGGTGGCCCTGGGAGTTGGCAGTGGTTCCGTCCTGCTGGGGGAGGGGCAGGCAGAAGCCAGGGTCAGGGACCTGAGGAGATGGTTCTCGCCATGCTGGGGGCTCTGTACCCCAGGGCCGGGCTGAGCCTCTTCCTCCTGGACCTCGTCTTGGCAGCCGCACTCCTCGGCCCCCAGCCACCGAGGTATCTCCTGGGGTCAAAGGGTCGGGGGTCCACAGGGCCGGGGGCCTGAAAGGTGGGTGGCTCTGCCATGCTGCCTCCCTCTCCCCTCCCCTGAGGACAGGCTGGTGCCATTATGCTGGGCGTCGAGGCTCACCCTGTCCCCTACCCTGGGCCTTGACAGGGGAGGTGGTAGTGGCCTTTAGGGCCAGCGCTGAGCACCCCAACATCTCCCACAGGCCTCAGCGATCTGTTCCTGAAGAATTTTCAGGCCCTCTAGAACTCTCGCAGCCATTTTCCGGCCTGGTGGATGGTAGTATCTTTCAGCCCTGCCCTGCCCTGCCCCGCCCCTCCCCCCCCCCCCCATGCGGGACACATGCCCTAGGGGAGGGGCACCCGGGTCCCTCCTCTAGGTCCTCTCATCCCGAACAGCTCTGTTCCGGGGCGGGGGGTTGGGGGGACTTCAGTGGAGTCCTCCTACCACGCACACCCTCTTTTCTCAGACTATGGGATTCGACCCAAGCACCCCTGGCCACGGGGGCCTCAACCCCTGCTCTCCCAGGCCCAGCAGCGCAAGCGGGACGGGCCAGACATGGCAGAGTATTACTACGACGCGCACCTGTGACGGGAGCCCCTTATAAAGCTATTCTGGGCAGCAAAGGCTCTGCCTTTCCTGGGATGGACACCACCTGGGCGTGGGAGGGGCCCAGGCAGACACACCCACTGCGGTCCAGACAGGAAATGGCACTTTAATAGTTGTGGCCAGGGTGACGGGACCAAGGTGGGGCTACAGCTGGGGCAGCCAAGAGGCCCTGGCTGGCCCGGGCCGGTCCAGAAGCCTCCTCTTCCTGCTGGGACGGGGCCCCGCTGCAGCTCTCTCCTTCCCTGGTGAGGTCCCACACGTGCCAGGGGCCAGCATGACAGCCACCCGGAGGCCACACAAGTGACGGAGCTGGGAACAGGGACTGCACCCCCACCTGCTGCCGTTTCCTTACTGCGAAGTCCTCGGGAGGTGGTTGGGCTCAGCCTGAGCTCAGTCAGGGCCTTCGGTTGGGGCTGGGAGTTGGGGATGGGACGGGGCGGGCACCAGCAGGTGGCACATGGGCTTTGTCGAGGCAGGAGTCACGGCCAGAGAGCCAGAGGCCCCGGCAAAGGAAGTGACGCCAAGGACGGGACAGAGCCCTCTGCTCCTACCGTGGGCATCCTTCTTGGCTAGAGGCCTGACACCCCTCCAGCCCCGCCCCTCCCCAATCCCCGGGCAGCCTGCTCCGTCCTCCATAGATGAATCTAGTCCCATATATTACAATAAACTGCATTCGTCTCTCCCCATAAACCCCCCCCCCCCCCCCCCCTCCGCCAAAGGCCCCCACTTCCCCACCCTCCGGTGGTGATGGGCCCCCCTCCTCGAGCAGTGCCGAGTCCCGTCAGCAGCCAGCTGGCCCGGTGCTGGCCCGAGGGCCCGGGGATGTAGAGGGCAGGGCAGCGCCGCTACTCCAGGTAGATGTCTTCCGTGGGGCAGGTGTACTCCACGAACTGCTTGTAGAACTGCTGGAACGCTCTCCTGGGAAGCAGGCAGACACACAGGTGACGGGACGAACAGGATCTCCACCCAAGGTTTTCAGGCTGGAGCCTCGGGGTCCCCAGGTAGGGATCCAGTTCCCCCGGCAG